TGTGAGAAAAACGGTGTGATTCTTGGCCAATACTATTATTACTGTCCAAAAAAGGTGCAACCTTTGTTTCCTTTCTGAGCCTAAACTTGATGCATTCAATGCTTCCGCGTGTTTTCAATGATGGGTTATGCTGCAAATTGCAGAGACTGAAATAGAGAGAGTGAGAGAGTAGTAATGGCTTTAGGGAACCGAGTGTATGGTGGCCTGACTTTCATTATTGTGAATATAGATAGATAAGCCCGATGCATTTATGCTCTTGAGATTTATTAGTCTTTGCTTGTTATTATGAGTTTATCTCCCTGCACAACAATTACTTGATTTTTCTTTTAATAACAAGATCTTGTTTCTATCAAGATTCAAGACCCATTTAAAAAATCTCTTGTGATGCTTTTGTTCTTCTGGAATGGGTGCTTGAAATGAAGGTGAAGATTGGGGAATAAGAAGGTCAAAATGGGAAGAGCACCTTGTTGTAAAAAGGAGGGGTTGAGGAAAGGAACATGGACAGCTGAAGAGGACAAGATTCTTGTTGACTACATTACCAAGAATGGACATGGCAGCTGGAAGTCTCTCCCTAATCTTGCAGGTTTTTTGTTTTTCCTTTCTTCAAAAACTAAAATAACATTTTTGAGCTTCTAGATTTGCCCTTTATTATCCTGAGGTTGAAATTTCTACTGCAGGTTTTAACTTGTATTGTACCTTTCAGCTTGTAATACTTGGGAATTTAACTACAAATTTTTGTGACAATAATTCTTGAATGATACAATGGTCTGGGTGGAATGGGGGACACTTTAGACTCTTTTTATAGGCAAAGATGTGCATTTCTTGTTGCAAGCTAATTTGCCAAAAACAGAGAGAATAAAATGCAATAAATGCACCTTCTCTTATCCACCCTCCACAAGACTGTCATTAGTAATATCATATCACTATTAGGGAGATAAGATGTTAAATGGCTATAATCATGTGACTTATTTTTTTTATTACTAGAATGAAATCCTTGCTTATGAGAGTATAAAATATAATTCTCTTGGCCCAATAATAACCCTCATTCACTCATTGCCTAATACTTGTTACATGAATGTCACTCTTTAGCGGCAAGTTTTAGGCTAGCTAGACTCCAGCCATAGACATTTAGAGTTAATTTTAATTTCACAGGTCTGCTCCGTTGTGGAAAGAGTTGTAGGCTCCGGTGGGCAAACTACCTTCGCCCCGGCATTAAGCGCGGTCCATTCAGCGCAGAAGAACTTGAAACCATCATTCAACTGCACAGTGTTCTTGGTAACAGGTATGTTTTTGGCCAAGTTTCTGGTGCTGTGTACTACTGTAACCAACCCCGTATGTGTTAATTTCTCTGCATTCTCGTATAGCTAATGGTTGAAGTTTTCTTTAAGGTGGTCTGTCATAGCTTCCCATTTGCCAGGAAGAACAGACAATGACGTAAAGAACTACTGGAACTCGGGTCCAAGGAAACAAAGAGTCAATCCCAATAACCATCAAAACCACCAGATGTCCGTGCAGATTGGTGTGAAGCACGAAATGCCATCACCAACCAACATCCACTTCACACAATGTGACAAGAGTGTTCTTGGACTGGCATTTGAGAATGAGATGCAATGCGACCCGTTCTTGCGCCTGTGGTGCTCCGAAGCTGGAGAACTGTTTCGCGGTTCAAAGAAATCGTGTCCAAGCCCAGTGTCCCAAGGAGCTTCTGGTTCGTCGGTGAGCAAGTTTGAGACAAGTTCTGGGATCACTCTTCAGGAGAATGAACTTTCTTTAAAGATTCTCAGCCCAATGCCTGTGAATTGCAAAGTAGAGGTAGAAGAAGATTCAAAATGCTATAAACTGGATGATGATGATCCATCTGAGGCAGCTCTCAAACTACTGCTAGATTTTCCTGAGGGTGTTGATGAAATGGGATTCTTGCGTATTGGGTCAGGAGAAAGTCCCTCTTTTTATCACCAAGGCTAACCTTTGTCTTTCAGCTTAGAATCCTGGGGAAACCATGTATGTAAATCTGCCTACATCCCTGCTGATTTTGTCTTGGGCCTGCTACATGTATCTATATCTAATTAGAATCTTCCTGGTTTGGTTTTGGAGGTGATAGGGTTTTTTTTGTGAAAGTTGCTATGATCTTAATATCTTATCACTAATTAAAATCATATAATCTCTTTACTCTATACTGTTTATATTTTTGGGTGCTACTCATATTGATGGGCGAACTACAATTGTACCCCGTATAATGCTCACTTTTTTATGTTGTTCGTTTTGTCCTTAAGGGCTTGTTTGGTTGGTTGGGGGGGGGGGGGGGGGGAGGGGGGGG